AGGAAAGGGGGCATGAGTGTATACACAGTTAATCAAATGCATTGGTTGATAGTATTTTATTTTTATTTTATTGAAGGAGGGTGTGCTTGGATGAAACTGATTTAAAAGTCTCTGTTATTGGGTCCTGAGATGGGAAAGTTATGGTTAGATCTTTATTATTCATAAACGAAGAGAATCTAGATATTTCCTCTTTTTTTAGTTTCATATCCTATCTCTACTATGACTATGTTTTTTGTTATGTTGCTTTGCTAGTGTTGTTGTTAAGCACAAGGAAGTTCAGGGTGAAGTTATGCTTACCTGCAAATTGACTTCAGCTGAAGAAGTCCATGCCGACTGCTAATGAGAAACCTAACCTGCTGACTAGAGACTTGGGCTGCTGAACAGGGCAGGCTGGTTCAGCTCATCAGAGATTTAGTGCAATGTGGAGACAGCAGAGTTGGAGACAGATGTCTTCATGCTCCTATAGGGTTTCACCAGCAAACATCTCAATCTTGGAGGTGGCATAGAGTGCCTACATCAGACCTGGGATGGTGCTGGCATTTGATTCATCCTGATGTCCTGTATTTTTCCAAAGTCAACATAGACAGTCTCAACTGTGGTACTGAAGACATCCAGGACAACCTGACCTGTGAAGGCTGCCTCTGAACTGGCTCAGGGCTTCAGGATCTCCATGATCACTATGCTGCTGTCTCAGCAAACATAGTTATTGGTCCAGCATTGAAAATAGGATGTATGCTTGTCCTTGTATTGAATAGCAAGACACAGATTGAAGGTAAGGGATTTCTCAACCTTTTACTCTTCATTACTAGTCCACTGCCTTGTGAAGTTTCTCTCAGATGTGAATTCCTTTTAATAAGCAGATGTGAATGACTTTGACTATTTGAATATCAACCCTATCAGACTAATAGAATCTGACTGTGTGAGGATATTTTGCAGTTATTAGAAGAAATTACTATTAGAGCCCTTCTCAGCATAGAATGGTGAGATGCATTGGGCTGTTGGCACAAGCACCTAAATACTCTATTGTAGTAGTGTGAAACTTGTGGCCTTTTTGGCCCTTAGCTCCCAGAATGTCTTGCCATTGATCAAATTGGCTAGGATTTCTGGGAGTTATTCTATGGCTTCTGACACTGACACTGGTGGATGTCCTCTCTGACTCCTTTGTTGATCACTGTGTATAATTTCACTTGATTCCAGCATGATGAAGACATTGTGGGAACTGTTTCCCTAATTGTGATCTGATCATGTGGGCATGTTGCTTGCAGCAAAACCAGTCACACTACCCTCACAACTACACCTTGAGTGAAAGAGTAGGTCTGCATGAATCCAGGTTGTGTTTCGGGCATTCTTTTGTATGAGAGAATGATTTCTGCTGCTCTGCCCTGAAAAAAGAAATAGTACAACCACTTGCAAAAAAAGGAACCATTTGGTGTTTAACAACTAAGGGTCCTTCTACACAGCCCTATATCTCAGAATATCAAGGCAGAAAATCCCACAATATCTGCTTTGAACTGGGTTATCTGTTCAAAGCAGATATTCTGTTTAGGGCTGTGTGGAAGGGCCCTAAATAGGGAAGGGGCTAGAGCAGATCTGGGCAACCGCCATGATTTTTGGATTTTTGAATTCATGTCAATCTCAGTCGGGTCTGAGATTGAATTCGCTTAGTTGCCCTGATTGATTAATTTTATAAATACAGTATATAAAAATGAGTGCAAGTTTGTTTCTTTTTCTTGATCTCCCTATAATTTTTGAGAGCATTGATTAAGATGGACTTTTGGACTAGTATCTTTTTCCAATCTTTCTGGACCACCTCTTGTTTACCTCTTATGTAAATTTGATGAATCCATGGAGGCAATTTATTAATGCAGGGAGAGCTAGGGTGATATAGTAGAACAGGGCCTCAATTCCTGCTAGGCCATGAAGTTCACTGAGTGACCTTGTGCAAGTCCCATTCTCTCAGGCTCAGAGGAAGTCAATGGTAAACTAGGAGGGTCACAGCAACTACAAAGGTGAAACGTGAAACGTGACACATTAAAAACAGTAAAACTGAAGCTGTCACTAGTGATGAGCCACTGCACTCTCACACACACATACACACAAGTCTCTCACACAGGCTTTCTCTCACACACACATACACACATAGTTGCTCAATCTTTCACACACACACTTTGCCACACACCTAGACACATACACCGTCTCTCACAAGTGCACTTCCTACTCACTCTCACACACATATGCACTTACACTCTCATTTTGCCATACATACTACTCTTCCCCCCGAAACTCATACACACTCACTATCACTCAGGCACACTTACATTCTCTTCTGTGAAACACATCTATACACATATTCCCACAAACACATTCACTAGCTCGATCACTCACAAACTGCTGCACTCTCATTCAGTCACATATACATACTCTCTCTCACACACACACAGCCTTTCACAACTCACACATGCACACATACTCTTGTCTCCATATACTCACTCACACACATACATATTTACTCTCTTCCAAACACACCCTACACACATACTCTCCCACTCATGCACACTTATACTCTCACTCTGCCACACATATTCCCTCGCACATCCACACTTAATCTCTGCAAAAACCCACCTAGCATACTCCTTCTTTCATTCTCACTCTGCCACACACATCTACACACTTTCTCCCTGTGTCTCACACAAACACTTTTCATGACTTGCACATACATACACACTCATCCTGGGCCGTCCCACCCAGCCATATAATATTTATAACCCATATAAAGGCAGATACCCTACTATATCTGCTTTGAACTGGGTTATCTGAATCCACACAGCCATATATTCCAGTTCCATGTGGAGCTGTGTGGAAAGGCCCTCTCTCTGGAGACACCTACTCCACTTCCCACACATACACTGTCACAACTCACACATAAACTGACTCACGGGCAGACTTCTACTCTCTCTGCCCAACACACCTGCAGGCATCCCACTTTCCTTTCTCACAAACATGCACACAGAGGCCCCTTCAACATAGCTGAATACAATCCCACTTTTATATATACATACTGGATTATATGGCAGTATGGAGTCCCCGGTGGTGCAGTGGGTTAAACCTCTGAGCTGCTGAGCTTGCTGATCAAAAGGTCGCAGGTTCAAATCTGCGGTGCAGCGTGAGTTCCCATTGCTAGCCCCAGCTTCTGCCAACCTAGCAGTTTGAAAACATGCAAATGTGAGTAGATCAATAGGTACTGCTCCAGCAGGAAGGCAAGGGCAGTCATGCTGGCCACATGACCTTGGCTCCAATTTTTTTTTGTTGGTGACAGTGATAGCTGGATCTGGAAGCTCTGAGCATTATGCACATTCCGCAATGGCGGTTGTGAATAAGGGAAGGGGAGAGCGGCACACTGAGGGCAGTAATATACTTCGTAGTTGCATTTGGTGGAAGGATAGAAAGGAGAGGAGGGTTAGGATAAGGTTCAGGGTAAGGTTTAGGGGTAGGTTAAGGGTTAGGAACTCTTTTCTTCGATAATATCTGTGTTTCGTTCTGCATTGAGCAAAGGAGTGAAGCGGAAAGAGTGTAACACTCAGAATTTCCAGAACAAGCTTTCATACTATTTCTTTTTTTCTTCAGAGGGAAAAAATGCTACAGCTATGATACCAGAGTTAGCCCCAGCTTCTGCCAACCTAGCAGTTCAAATGCATGCAAATGTGAGTAGATCAATAGGTACTGTTCTGGCGGGAAGGTAACGGCGCTCCATGCAGTCATGCTGGCCACATAATCTTGGAGATGTCTACGAACAATACCGGCTCTTCGGCTTAGAAATGGAGATGAACACCAACCCCCAGAGTCGGACAGGACTGGACTTAATGTCAGGGGACAACCTTTACCTATGGACTCAGACAGGGCCGTAGCCAGAAAAAAAATTAGGAGGGGTTTCGTGGGGGGGGGGGTGTGAAAATTTTGCAGGGGGGGGTGGAAACCTGCCTCCTAGCTCACGCTGAGGCAAAGAGCACAGCAGGGGGCAGAGCCGCCTTCAATAGTCTGCAGCTCTGCCCCTGTCAACCACTTCCACCAAGTCTGGCCCTCCTTAATGAGAGCATTCAACACCTCTCCCCCCAACTTGGTTGCTTCACTACATGGCTATTGCTGCAAGTAATGACAGCGTGAGTAGTCAATATTTGCTTGAGATAGTGCTTGCAGTTCTGGAGGGACTCTTAATTTTTTGCATCTCATAGACTGAGCATAGGGATTTGGTTAACCAGTTAAAAGGGGGGGTTGAACCCCTAAAACCACCCCCTCGCTACAGGCCTGGACTCAGATAAACCAGTTCAAAACTGATATTGTGGGATTTTCTGCCGTGATATTCTGAGTTATATGGCTGTGTGGAAGGGCCCTCAGAATATCAAAGCAGATATCAAGCCAACCCCGACTGAGACCGCCTTCCACCTGGAAACCAATGCCCTCACTGTGGGAGAAGATGCAGGTCAAGAATAGGGCTCCACAGCCACCTACGGATCCATAAGAATACTGATCTTGGAAGACTATACTACTCGTCCAACGAGGGATGGCCTAAGTAATTATTATTATTATTATTATTATTATTATTATTATTATTATTACTATTATTATCACTATTATTATTACATATAATGCAGTTTGGCACTACTTTTATCCAGCTGTGTGGAAGGGTCCAGTCTCTCTCTCGCGCGCTCCCAGGTCTATTCATCCTCGGTGTCCCTCGCAGGAGGAGAGACCTCCAATGGGTTGCCGCCCCTTCAGCCCCCTCGACGTCAGCACCCCCCTCCCACCTACCCAATCGCGGTCCCCTCCTCGGGCGCGCGCCGAGCCTCGCTCTCCCTCCCTCCCTCCCTTCTCGCCATTGGACGCTCGCGCGTTCCTTCGGCCCTCGCCATAGGCGGAGCGGCCGCCTGAGTGTGACGCGCCGCGCGCGCTCCTGCGTTTGGGGCTTTTTTTTCCTTCATCTTCAGGAGGCGGGGCTTTTGGCGCGGGCACGCGGCTGTGGAGGGGCAGCCGTTGGAGTCGGTTGGTCGGTGGGCGAAGGGGCGCCTCCTCCCCCTCCCCTCCCCCTCGCGCCCGAGGCCAGAAGAGAGGGAGGGGAGGCCATGAAGAGGAGGCGGCGGCCCCGCGAGGCTGCCTGGCGCTTCCCTCCTCGCGCTTCCCGTCCTTCGGGCCCGGACCCTGAGGAGGCTCCCTGAGGAGGAGGGCCTCGGCACTCCCACCTGCCTCCTGCCGCCTTCCCCGTCCCTCCGTCCTCGATGTCTTCCCCGCCGCGGGGAGCCCGGCCCACCCGCGCCTCCTCCGCCTCCTCCTCTTCTTCGGCCCTCCGCACCAGCCTTCCCCGAGAGCGGCGGCCCCAGCAGCGAGGGCCCCACGGCCCCGGCACCATGAAGGCGGAGGCGGGGGACAGCAGCCTCATCAACCTCTCGGTCCAGCAGGTGTTGAGTCTGTGGGCACACGGCACCTCGCTCCGGCACCTCACAGGTAAAGGATTTGGGGCGGGGAGGGGGCGCGCCTGGCCCTTCAGGTGGTCAGGAAAAGGACCAGGGGCCTCCTCCCTATTAGATTCCAGTGTTTCTCAACCTGGAGGTCGGGACCCCTGGAGGGGTTGTCAAAGGGGTCACCAAGGACAACCATAAAACACAGTATTTTCTGTTAGTCATGGAGGTTCTGTGTGGGAAGTTTGGCCCAATTCAATCGTTGGCAAGGCTCAGAATGCTCTTTGATTGCAGGTGAACTATAAATCCCAGCAACTACACCTCCCAAATGTCAAGGTCTATTTTCCCCAAACCCCACTAGTGTTTACATTTAGGCATATTGAGAATTCATGCCAAGTTTGGTCCAGATCTATCATTGTTTGAGTCCACAGTGCTCTCTGGATGTAGGTGAACTACAACTCCCAAAAACTCAAGGTCAATGCCAACCAAACCCTTCCAGTATTTTCTCTTGGTCATGGGAGCTGTGTGCCAAGTTTGGTTCAATTCCATCATTGGTGGGAGTTCAGAATGCTCTTTGATTGTAGGTGAACTATAAATCCCAGCAACTACAACTCCCAATGTCAAGGTCTATTTTCCCCAAACTCCACCAGTGTTTACATTTGGGCATATTGAGTATTTGTGCCAAGTTTGGTCCAGATCCATCATTGTTTGAGTCCACAGTGCTCTCTTGATGTAGGTGAACTACAACTCCCAAAACTCAAGGTCAATGCCCACCAAACCCTTCCAGTATTTTCTCCTGGTCGTAGGAGTTCTTTGTGCCAAGTTTGATTCAATTCCATCTTTGGTGGAATTCAGAATGCTCTTTGATTGTAGGTTAACTATAAATCCCAGCAACTACAATTCCCATAGGACAAAATCAATATCCTCCCCCAATCCCACCAGTATTTAAATTTGGATGTATTGGGTCTTTGTGCTAAATTTGGTCCAGTCTATGAAAATACATCCTGCATATCAGATATTTACATTACTATTCATAACAGCAGCAAAATGACAGTTATGAAGTAGCAATGAAACTAATTTTATGGTTGGGGGTCACCATAACATGAGGAAGAGTATTAAGGGGCCGTGGCATTAGGAAGGTTGAGAACCACTGTATTAGATCAATAGGGAGGCCACAGGTCCTAAAGCAGGCATGGGCAAACTTGGGCCTTCTCTCCAGGTGTTTTGGAGTTCAACTCCCACCATTCCTAACAGTCTCAGGCCCCTTCCTTTTCGCTCAAGCGGCTGAGGGAGAAAACGAAAGGTCCCAAGACTGCTAGGAACGGTGGGAGTTAAACTCCAAAACAATTTTTGTGATCTTTTTTTGTCATCATTTTGTCATCATGCTTGTCATCTGCCTCCCCTAAAGGCCTAATAAGGCTAGGATCAAGATAAATACTGTAGGTTTGCTTTTCAGTTGAATTTGTGTCCAAGTTGGGATCAGGAACATTTTTAGTCAGTCACCAGCCATAGTAAAGGTAAAGGTTTCCCCTTGACGTTAAGTCTAGTTGTGTCCAACTCTGGGGATGGGGGGGTGCTCATCTCCTTTTCTAAGCCAAAGAGCTGGCACTGGACATTGCCCGTAGATGCCTCCTAGGTTATGTGGCAGGCATGACTGCACGGAGCATCGTTACCTTCCCACTGGAGCAGTACCTATTGATCTACTCACATTTGCATATTTTTGAACTGCTAGGGTGGCAGAAGCTGGGCCCAACAATAGAAGCTCACCCTGTCTGTGAATTCAAACCACCAGCCTTCTGACTAGCAGGTTCTGTAGCTTAGCAGTTTAACCTGCTGCGCCACCAGCCAATATATGTACACACACACGCATGCATGCATACACAAGCTTTGGAAAACATAGGGAAGGGCTTATTATTTATTTATTTAAAACAGTTATATTCCACCCTTCTCATCCCAAAGGAGACTCAGGGCAGAGCACAGCATATAAATGGCAAACATTCAATGCCAGGCATAAATAGACCTTGTATATACGTAAACATTAAAATCATTTATCTCAATATTAAACTCCATTGTTTAAACCATTTCAATCATCCGTATCAAATCTGGTTGGCATAATAAGGTTTCCTATTGCTGCCTTATTGCCCTGTCTCAAAGGCTTGGTCCCACATCCTTCTGAAGGACAGGAGGGAAGGGGCTGCTCTACATACCCTTGTGGTGTTTCTTTTGTTGTCTGTACACCTGTTCAGAAGATTTTGCCTCACTTCCTGTCCTTTTGATCATTGGATTTGGACAAATGTGGCTTGCTTTGGAAATAAGGATTGGTGATAAAGCTTCAGCGGAGACACCTTTCCCCAATGATAACTTTCAGGAGTGGATTTCCCTTCTGAGGGGTAGTTTTCACTCCCTATTGTCTCAGCCTGGTTCTTAACTATGAGTCATTCGTAAGTCAGATGTTTGTAACTCCTGTACTATATCCCATACTATACCATAAACTCTGTCTTGACTTGATATCCATATTGAAACACAGTCATGGAAAGCAAAGTAAGACAAACTGAATGTCACACAGTTTTACTATGTAATACCTGTATTTTCATTTTTATTTAAAGCCGAGCTTCTTAAACTGTTTTTCCCACTCAGGACCCTTTTCCACCTGAGAAATATGTACATGACCCCAGATACATAGATATATAAAATAGGTATAACAATCAAATGGTTACTGATAAATCAACATTTTAAAAGTCTTGCTAAACAGGCTGGTTTTCCTTTTTATTCAGTGGGTTAAACCACTGAGCTGCTGAACTTGCTGGTTCAAATCCAGGGAGTGGAGTGAGTTCCCGCTGTTAGCCCCAGCTTCCAACAACTTAGCAGTTTGAAAACATGCAAATGGAGTAGATCAACAGGTACCTCTTCGGCGGGAAGGTGACCGCGCTCGATGCAGTCATGCCAGCCACATGACCTTGGAGGCATCTACAGACAACGCTGGCTCTTTGGCTTAGAAATGGAAGTGAACACCACACGCCCGGAGTAGGACACAACTAGACTTAATGTCAAGGGGAAACCTTTACCTTTATTAAGTGCAGTTCAAGCATCTTTTGCAGAATCCACTGTAAGCCCTGCATGTGTTTGCTAACAGATTAGTGTAAATGGGTGGAGTTCAGAAACCTTTTACTGTTGTCAGATTTTTCATGGCCCCAACATTGAGCTCAGGGGACCCCATTTGTGGTCAGCATCCACAGCTTAAGAAGCACTGGTTTTAAAGTATTGTTTCTTCATCCACCTCCCTCCCCCCCCCCCCACTCCAATTGTTTGAGTTCTGGCTGAGAGTCTACTCTATATCTGTATTCCAGTGACTTATGGGTTATAAGGGCAGGTAGAGGTTACATGTGGACAAGATGCCCCAGCACAGTGCTTCACCCTCCCTGGATGGAGGGATGGGATTCCTGCTAACAGCCAAATGTGAATGTCCAGGAAAGACAGAAAAATGTTTTACAGATTGAGTGCACAATGAGTCCCCTGGAACACTGGAAAATAATCATCAGACAAGCACTACCCTAGGTCTATTCTGGATTCTAGGAGAAGGTGGGTTTTAATAGGTTTCAGCTTAAGCTAAGGAGTATTACACTGGCACACACACTCCTTCTTGTGTATGTTTCTTGGGGAAAGATACATAGGATCTGGCTGCTCTGGTTGGACTTTACTGACCTGAAAACCTGGGGATGATCTGGCATGGCATACACAAGATCGCCCCAATATGGGTCACTGGGCCAGAATATGGACTTTCTTCCGACATTGGCTACCGCGGAGCAATGCCGCATTGATAAAGTCGGCTTGCCGATCAGCTCTGTGTGGTGTTTGGCCCCCACAATGCTAATCCAGCCCTATCCTGACCTAAGTGGTTGGTGTAGATGTGCCCTTTATTTCCTTTAAGGCCGGCTGAATACAGGCATAGGGTGTACTGGAAAATAATAATTGCCAGTGTCAGACAAGTAATGCCCTAAGATATTCCTGGATTTGAGAAGAATATGGGCTTTAGAAGCTTCATACACCCAGGGTTTCCATATAGCCTACAAGGAACCTGCCTTTGTAAGTGTCTTCTTCTGCTTGTTTTAGTTCTCTTGGGAAATTGGGAGATAGGACCTGACTGCCCAGTTTCCTTTATAGTTAGGCAGATGACAAGCATAAACACTGCTTACACAACTATTTCATCAACCCAATGTTTCATCAGTTAAAAACTTTGTAGCTAATTAAGGTATCATCCATTGATCAAATAAGATAAGTATTTAGTGAGAATTCAGATTGGCAGTTGTTCCCATTAGAGTCATTCTTTTTCTGTCTTACACAATAGGGGATCCTCCTCCTCTAGTGTGTGAGTATATCACCAAAGAAAGAAGTTGTGGTTTTTGTTTCTCAGAACTTTATAGTTTTCACAGATTTAATAATCAACTGGTTAAGAAAATAATTGTATATGTACTGTGAGATAGCTCTTTTACTGGGAACCTGCCTTTTTCTGTAACAGTTTTCATGATTCTGGTTCTATGCTATCATACTAAATTGGAGGCATGAACTCTCTTCTTCATAGACCAGTCTCAGGAAGGTCATTGTACTCTATAGTGTTCTCATAACTAATGTTTATGAAATCCCAAAAACCCACAAATTTAATTAAATCCTTTTGGGTAAAATCATATGGTTTTAAGATTTGTGATTGTAAAAGGGTATGATGGCAGTAACCTAGATGAACAAATTCTAATGTACAGTGTTATTTTCAATTTTTGCTTGGCTGTGTTAAAGTAAAGCTGAGTATAACTGTGATATATAGAAATGGCTATACTGAAGGGTAATGAACACTTTCCAGTCAGTGGTAATGTTGTGTGTTTAAAACTAGTCCCTAAAGAAGTAGAGATACAGTAAATTGAACATGTATCCAAAATCTTTCCATGAATACATATGGACAATTTCTAACTCCTACATTTTGACTTGAGTGAAACGTTGTTTTCAGTCTAAAATTATGAACAGTTATAACTGTACCCTCATTGTCTGCCCAACACATTAACCACCCTGTATACTTGTGTATAAGTCTAGAAGTTTAATTTTTTAAAATGAAGCCCACCATACCTGGGCCAATATATTCATGGTTCAATGAATACCTTGACTCTTAGCAAAAGGCAAATGTCCGTCCCTGGAAAAACCAAAAGAAACACTTCCGCTACTCTCTCTGCCACAATGATATATCTGGCCTTTTTAAGTGCCAGGATAGGGAAATGGCAGTTTGAAATGGCATGGGTACTTTTCTCTCCTGCAGAGTCACCCTCCTGACTTATCCACAGGTCATAAGAAAATCCATATTTTTGAGCCCCAAACCTGCACTTGATTTACATATGAGGTCAATGTATACATGAGGTCAACTTATATATGAATATATACTGTATGTATTAGTGTCCGTGTCTTCCAGGATATGGCTATGATCAGTGTGGATTGATGGACTCAGTTTTAGTGTAGTGATGAATTGGCAGCATTTTAGCTGAAATAGTAAAAGAACTATCCAGGGTGCTGAAAACCAATTCTGAACTATATCTAGCAACCTGAATATCACATTTCAAATTCAGACTGAAATCAAGAATGGATTCACTGCCTCACTAACATGTAAGCCATCATATACTACTGGATATGATAAAGAATAACAAAAGGCCAAACGAGCTATAGGAACTGGGTAAAAACACTTAAGCCTGCCTCGTGATAAATTGTGGGCAGATTCATGGGAACAGTGAATATATGATGAACTTTTCTGACCCAAAATGTGATGAGAACCACTGGCAGATGATTAGGCAGATTTATAGATAATGCCTGCATCTATGTTATTATAGATAGATGAAACCTCCATACTCAAGCGGGTGTCTCTTAAGGACTGGTGTTGCTTTGACAACTGTGGAATAAAACCTTCCTTGTTTTTAGCTTCTCAGAAACATCTGGTTGCCCACTTTTGGAAACTGTATATAACCAAATATTTGAGTACAAATGGACTGTTGTTCTGATCTGTTCCTATGTTCTCAGGCTGAACTCAGTAATAGTATTAGCCTAGTGACAGTACTGTTAGAACAACTCTTGTTCTTATTTATGTGAAAGTATTACTTACTGTTTCTTTATGCAGTTCATATCCTGGTTTTCTTCCATAAATGGAACTTAGTAGGAGTAAAATAGTGTAGCATTGAAACAAATGAAAATAAAACAGTCCACAGCAAGCAAAAATCACTTGCCAAAGGCCTGTCCAGTTGTGTGCATTTTTAAAGTGATTGCTTTCCGAAACAAAAACAACAAAGAAAGGCCTAGTCTTATCTCTCTCCAGAGGGAGTTCCAGAAGCTGGGAACAGATGGTGAGAAAGCAGCATCTTGCATCTGTAGAAGGCAGGCTAAAAGAAGGCCTCTCCACAAAGATCTCAAGGCATAGAAAGGCTCACAAAGGAGAACATGGCCCTTGACATTGCCTGGAATCAGTTCTGTGAATACCTAATAAAAGTGCACTGCAGGTTTTGCACATCTAGCTAATCATAACAGGGATAAAGATCTGGACAGAGAAAATCTGAGGTATTCCTCAGTTAATATTGAGAAATTAAGTGGCACTGGTATTTTCTTCTAAAATGTCCACCTCATACCACCAAGGGTTAAATTTTCTAAGAAGACTATTCCACAGTTGATATTCCAGTACTAAAAAGGATCTCACTCCTCTAGTTACCTGCTTCATCTCTTCTGATCCACTCCAACCAGAGTGTACCATATATGCTATAGGAAGGCTATTTACTATTTAGCATAACATTGAGATTCTCATGGATGCCTCAAGGCAGATTTATATAAATACATTCATACTTCACAGCTTCATTTTCAATGCCATATTGGTATTGCAGGATGCTCTTTCTTCACAGTGTATCAAAGTATCAGTGAGTTTTTAACTACAATATCATTATTCTTGTGTTCATGTTTAGCCACAGAGGATGTACTGTATTTGTGTATTCTATTTTTAAACAAAACAAAACATTTGCACATAATGCAGTTTAACACCAGTTTAACAGCTATGGTTCAGTGCTATGGAATCATGCGAGTTATAGTTTGGGGAGGTGCCATCTTTCTTTGTCAAATAATGCTCACCTTGAAAGGCTCCCACTCCCATGATTCCATCTCATTGAGCCATGGCAATTAAAATGGTCTCAAACTGCATTAATTCTGTACTGTATATGCACCCTTAGTCATATTTGTCTTTTCATGGTATGGTCTGGAAATAAATCCACAGATGTCACCAGATATAGTTTTTATAGCTTCCTTGTCCAAAGTTGATAGTTATTTCTGGCATTAAAATGTAACATAAAATAAAAGCATTGCTTCCATAAGGCATTCTTGTCTGGTTTTGTGGAAGTACTTTTACCAGAGACTGTTCTACTGACATAGATTTTATGCTTGTAAGGCATCTTGAATGAATAAATTCAAGGGATAAGTTGAAAGCATGTATTTTAAAAAGCAGGCAAACACACATAGGAAGGGCTAATGTACAGGGTAATAATGCATGAGATGTAACATATCTCAGTAAAATATGTTTTATTAGAGCAGTCTTTGCAAGGTTTGTGTGTGGGATGCAATTTGTGATTTTAATTGGATTGTTTTTCTTTGTGACTATTTGTTGCTTCAGAAGCAGCTTTTTCTCTCAGCTAGTTTGTTGTCACTTTTGTAGTTCTGCAGACTTTTGTTTTTTTCTCAAAAATAGCTCTAGTTAACACTTGAGATCAAAGTTATTTTTATGCCACATATATTCAACATGTTCTAAAAACTTAGTTTTTACTACACAGAGCATTCATGTAAAGAATTGTTTGAATTTCCCTCATTTTAGAACTGATTAGTACTTTTCTGCTTTAAATGGAAGGGAATGAAATACTGTTGCTAGCACTTTCACAATGCCAACATTCAGAAACAATATTATTGATAACTAAAAGGTTCGAAAAACCATTGAGAGAAATCCCTTAGTTTGGCATCTTGCTCTTATTGGAGAAGCAGAAACTGATCACACCTTTTAAAAACAAGATATTAGTGAAATTTTAGAAAGCATTGTTATAGTCTTCTTCCTCAAAAATAATTTGTGTTGTCTATTTTTCAGAACAGGTTCTTGCATAGCTTGATATTTATCACCTAAAGAAGAAAAGCAAAACACTTTTATGTATTGGTCAATATTATTTGTTAATATTTATTTATGTACTGCCAGTTGACAAAAGAGTTTTCACAGTAAAGATTACACAGTGAAGAATGCACAATAGTGCAAGAAATGGGTCATGCACAGAATAATAGCACAATAAAATGAGTTGTTTTGGTCAGGTGTGAATAACTTCACAGTTATTCACACTTAATGTCTAGTATGTTTTTCAGTATTTGATCAATAAAATATTCTTCACATATGTTAACATGCTCTTCAATTTTTTTTTTGTTTTTTTCAGAAATGTGGTACTGGGTTTTCCTATGGGCCCTCTTCTCCTCTCTCTTTGTCCATGGTGCTGCAGGAGTTTTAATGTTTGTGATGCTGCAAAGGCATAGGCAAGGAAGAGTAATCTCTGTCATTGTGGTCAGCATTGGATTTCTGGGTTCTGTAACTGGAGCAATGATAACAAGTAAGTTTAAAAAATATTTTCAATTCAATTATGCCTCTTCTTGAGTATGGCTATTATCTGTTCATATATTCTTTCATTATTCATAGTATTAGAACTCTGGGAGGCTTATAGTTGGGTTTTTCCTTTAGAAATAAGAAAAGATCCTAGGGTTGGAAAAAACTAATGTTCTCTACTCACTTTGGTAACTTTGTAGGTATGTGACAGTATTACAGTTAACTATATGTCAAGAATCATACTCATTTAGATAAGTAACTTGTCAGATCCACAGGAGAAATATGTACAAATTGGTAGACTGGTAAAATATTTTTGTAATTTTCTGCATGGCTGTTTAGAAGGCTAGAGGTGGAGTTACCTCTTAAATGAGCAAATATGAAAGACATACAAAGTAAATTTCAGTTCAGTAAATTTCAGTTCTAAAAGGAAGAACAATACAATGAAAGAGGGCTGTATGTTACCACTCTAGACCTATTGCAAATATTGGCCTCTTTGGATGTTGCAACAGTATTTCTGACTTACATTCCTCTGAGAGTGTTGGCAACAAATGGTGAGAGAAAGGATTCAGAAAACACTGCGTGCAGCATCCTAAGAGGCAGCAACCCTATTACTCGTAACTATTTTTCGTATTGTGGAGATTTCAGTTCAAGCACGGCACAGTTGCATGATTCCATGGTCTACACCAGTGTTATATTCCTCTTAAATTACTATTATAGCATAAAATTCAATTTAAAATTAAACTAAAAACCAATTTGATTGCAAGTTAATTAGATCTTAAATACTAAGGAGTGTATCTGAAGTGCAGTAAAACCAACTAATAGTTAATTGCAAGCTGTTCATTTTTATATTTTATTTGCATTTTATTTATATTTAGAATGAAGAAGATTCTAAAGAGATTGGGATATTGTTTATTAATAGGAGACCTTATGCAAAAAATGCAAGAGAAACTCTTTGCTACACATAGATCCTGTTTAGAATTTTGTTAGACTCCTAAATTTATTGGCATGGGTAAAGTGAAAGTAAAGATTTCCCCTTGACATTAAGTCTAGTCTGGAAGGTGGTTCTCATCTCAATTTCTAAGCCAAAAAGCCACCATTGTCCATAGATGCCTCAATGTCATGTGGCTGGCATAACTGCATTGAGCGCCATTGCTCTCCCGCCAGAGAATACCTATTTATTTACTCACATTTGCATGTTTTTGAACTGCTAGGTTGGCAGAAGCTGGGGCTAACAGCGGGAGCTCACTCCTCCTCCCCAAATTCGAACCGCTGACCTTTCATCAGCAAATTCATCAGCTCAGCGCTTTAGCCCACTTCGCCACCGGGGGTCATTTATTGGCATATAAACACTGAAAATTAGCAGTACTCAGTTAGGAAAGCCTGCTTGATAAGAGCCATATGATATGCTTCTTCCCTGAATTGTTATAATGTTTTCTTTTTTATAATGAAAAACTATTAGCAGCCAACCTGAAAACACATAACAGCTACAACATCAGTCATGCAACAAAAGTACCATGAAAACATACAACTAGCCTCTCATGTCTTTGTGCCATTTTACAGATTGATTATAATAGTTCAAAGAGATGTTGATAGGCATAACTGCCTGTTTACTGTTTCTGCTATTCTTTTCTACTCTTTTGCTTTTGTTTAAGTGTGGATAGTATCTGGCATACGTTAAGTGTCTAAAAGAATATCAGTGAATTTATTTGGTGGTTTCATTTTTCACCAGTTTCTTCAGATTTCTTTGCTGCAGTCTTTGACTTATCTGCTGTGATAATGTCATAATCCAGGTTATTGTATTTGCAGGACTGAAGCATTTGAAAAAATTCAGCATTGACAGAAAAATCAGTATTCCAGAATTTTTTGGCTAGTTTCAGCGTGTTTTGTTCTGTCACTCTTGCTATCAGTCCAGCAATTAATATTATAGTCTGTACTCCAATTTAGTAAAGTTCATGGAGAATGAAATTAACACATTTTAGATAGCCTAAATACACTTACACATTTCTAGGTTTTTAAAATATAGTTTGGGCACCGAGGAGCCAAAATAAGCAGTTTACGTTCCATTACCATGAGTAATTTTTTTTCATGCCAGGAGTGACTTGAGAAAATTGCAAGTTGCTTTTGGTGTGAGAGAATCTGCAAGGACATTGCCTAGGGGGTGCCTGGATGTTTTACCATCCTGTTGGGGGCTGTTGGATTAGCAAAGCCCCTACTTTGGAAACTTTTTAAAAGAGTCTTAAGACCTGGCTCTGCCGTCGCACTTTTGAAGAGTAGCCACATAATTTTATGCTAGTATTCCTCCAATGTTCTTGTCCCAGGAGCCCCCCCCCCCCACACACACACGAAGGTTGGCTTAATTTCCTATCTCTCTATGAGTTCGCCCTTACAATTAGTTCTCCCCCCTTATCTCACCCGGAGTTTTTAAATCATTTTATGTTCATGCGGCCTGCCCTTTGTTTGTCTGCCATTATGCTTAGTTCCTATGTTTTGTGTATATTGTTTTATATGCTTTGATGTTTTATATTTTACTGTTATGTTGTTTATTTGATTGTAATTTGTATTGTTATATTGTAATTCGGGCTTGGCCCCATGTAAGCCGCTCCAAGTTCCCTTTGGGGAGATGGCGGCAGGGTACAAATAAAGTTTATTATTATTATTATTATTATTATTATTATTATTCTCTCATGTTCCCACATGAGAAGCTGGAGCTGACAGATGGGAGCTCATCCTGCTCCCTGGATTCCAACCGTCAACCTTTTGGTCATTAAAGACATGGCTGGATAGCTGTCTTAGAACTTAGCTATGTCTTTTTTATTTAGCTGGATCAATGCAGATTTCTGCCTTATATTTTAGTAAAGTTAAGTCTATAAAGCAATACTTGGTGCCTCATATGGCAGGATTGTGAAATAATATAGTGTGTATTTTTTCAGTGTGTAGTTACAGAATATTAACACTGGAGAATATAAACACTGTTCTGAGATCTAGGTTTGTTTGATATCATGTGGTAATTCTCCCCTTTTCTCTCTTGTGCCTTTTAGGTGCAGCCGTGGCAGGAATTTACAGAGTAGCTGGGAAAAGTATGGCTCCTTTGGAAGCACTTGTATTTGGAGTTGGGCAGACTGTACTGACACTAATAATTTCATTTTCAAGGATTCTTGCTACACTTTGAATCTTCTGTGAAGCTTTCTTTATAAAAGGAGAAAGTCTGCAGTGACACTTTGGTAGCTGATGGACTTGGAATTGGGAGGGGAAGTACCTGTTACATGGACCGTAAAGTTAGAGGTTCCATGCATTTGGAAACTACTTCCCTCTACAGTCCAAAAATGACACACGACTGCACTGCACCTAATGTGCCTCTGACACAGGCAAAGTGTGATCAGTTTAGGAGAAACTGCAAGATGAAGCACCTTGTGAAGCTGCTAATCAGGCAAATGTTGGTGATGTGATCATTGTTCATAACAGTGTTGAAGAAAATACAGGGGCATTTCTAAGGAGTGGATACATGTGCCAAATGTAAAGTTGAACACTGATAGTATGACTACTTAAACGTGTAGTGAGTGCTGTAAAAATAGTTTTTTAAAAAATCAGGTACACAAGGCACTTGCTTCTTGTAACAGCTGAACTCTACTCAATGCAGAACGTTACCAAGCTTGTAGTGGAATGGCAGGAGTCAGTTACTTGAGTACAGAATTACTTATGAGCATTGCTGGGATTTAGTTACTGAAACAAAATTTTAGTAAGAACATGAATGTGATTAAGCCAGTATAGACTTTTCTTGAAAAGGGATTTATAAAGATATATCACATGTATTAAAGCCAGCTCATCAGTATTTTTCTTTCTTTCATTACTATCCATTCATGGTATGTCCCAAAATCGTATTCGAGTCAAATGACCAAACAGCTCATAAAATGAAATGTACATTATTTCTGAAGACTTTAGGTTTTTTAAAAAAGTTGTCTGTTGTGTTCCATAATTTTCTAAACATAACTGATTTTCTATGTAAAAGAACAGTTGTGTTGGTATTTATTGTAACAGGTAAACATGACTGTAAATGTCTTTTTAAAAACCAGTAGGTATCTTAAGTCCTGAAAAGCACATATTTAGCATATGGCCCACAGTTGAAATGAGAAATTTAAAAACCTGAAAGAGGTCATTTTTTGTACATGAGCAAAGCAATTATTCTAATAAACAGTCAGTATCAAAAAGAGGACACTTTAAAAATGTTAATTTCCCCTTTTACGTTTGACTTTTTCATAGCTTGCTTCCAGTAGACATACACAGTCGTATCTCTCTTTGTATTTGTTTGTATCGTTTCAACAAGAGCTTTGGTGGTGTGACTGTAATGTCTTTACTGTGAAACATTTTGATGTGAGTCGTGAAAAATGTCAGGACACTGATCTAAATTGATAAAAGTATGGGGAAAGAGTTAATATTGTACTGATTTTCATGCTGCCCATGTAGTGTGAGCAGAGATGCAACCATGGCTCCACTGTCCATATCACTATCTGAAAAAGCAGGCTCCCTATTTCTAAAAGCTAGTATCGGGGACAACAGATTGACCACCATTTTCAGCATCTATCAAAAATCTTTAAGTGCTGCCATTTCCCAATTACACTCTCATCAACAGCAACTCTTTAACTCTGTCTACTGTTGAATTTTATCTGAACAAGTGTGGATATCCTTGCTGGCCACCTGGAACAAACTAGGCAGATACACAAATATGATACTGCCTTTACAATTGCTTCTGCGCTTTGAATCTGACAGCTAATGCAGGTGGAGAGGGGACTTGGTTTCATACAATCCTTCCCTACGGGGACAGCATGTGGGCTAGCCTTTAATGTTCATTTATTGAAATAGACAGTCTATATATGCATCTGGAAGGAAGGGAAAGACATAGCTAGGAGCTGTCATCATAACAGAAGTCAATGCCTACAGAAGTTATACCTGCAGCAATAATATTTTGACAGCACAGTGCTTTGTTCCACAACCTTTCTAAATGTTACAGGATAAAACCCATAATTTGTATTTATATATACTAATGAATTACTGCTAGCCATTATTTTTCCTACTTTGATTTAGAGATTACATTTTTTTAAAAAGACATTCACTTTTCTCTTAAAGTTCAGTATTATGTATGTTTTTGGGAATAGGCTGCTATCCTGCAAGGACCTGTAGATAAAACTGGAGCTTTTTCTGTGACTCTGAGAACCTTGTCTGCCACAAATGGGAGACAGGGGAATGGAGACAGTATTAATCTAGATGTTTGAAGAAACATCAGCATATTTCAGCATTTTTATTTTGAGTAGTTTGAAATTCAACACCAAGGTATATTTTAAACATTCTGTAGTATACAGTATTTAATTTATAGTGCCTTGAGTATATGTTAGCGTTTTCTATCTTGTCCACTTTATTGCTGTTCTGTCTCTACTCTTAGATTAGCTGTTAGGCCAGTGTAGTTTGTTGTGGAAGTAGTGTTAATATTGAAAATGGGAGTGGACACAAGTCTTCTGAAACACTACTCCACTTCAAGTCAACACAGAAAGGGATTTTCAGGGGGGAAATCTTAATTGGAAGAATTATAATCCTGTATATTTTTAGGGCTTGTAGTTAGAAAGCTGCATCTTGGTTTCAATATTTTATCGAACATCAGAACATGCTGTATGTGATGCTGTTGTGAATGTTACATGTGAAGTGGTTTGATATCTAGTGTTATCTGTAGTGATTCAATGATGCTACAAAGCAAGCACTTCTCAGGCTCCAGTACTAAAGACAATTATGAAAAATGTACCTGTAAATTTTTAAGTCTGTTGACTTTAGGGCTATATCCAGAAATGTATATTCATGCTTCCTATGTTGTTTGTGATTGCCTCATTCTGACAAACCTTCAGTAATTTTAACACGAAGCAAATTTCATCAGTATTAAGTCTAGGCTGGGAATAATTTGTAGCCTAGGTATACACTTTGTGTTGAAATGTAACACATCTATTTGGCACAAATGATAATATGACCATCTTTCAAAAAAGATACGCTCAGAAGAACTAAATAGGACTCTTTTGCAACAGGAAGCAATTGTAGATCATGCCTCATGACACACAGCCATTGGGATGTTTTTAGGATAAATCAATGTACATGATTGCTCTCTTTCTATAAAAGTTGGTAAATTAAATAGATACACTAGATATCAGTAATGGCTATTAAAGTATATGTTTTCAGCATGGTAAGAACCAGTAGTGAAGAAACCTGGCCTTAATCCTTTTGAACAGAGTACATCCAACTTGTGTTTTGAAGAGACTGCAGCATTAGTTGCTCAGTGCATCTCAAAACTACTTTCTATAATAAAATAGGAATGAAGAAGTCAAGGAAATGTGTTCCATAGCAGTATGTTCTATAGTCAGACTTGAAATGTATGTGTCAGAAGTAATGTGAATAGGGCAGTTTTTCATATTCTAAAATGGATGAATTTCTGTGTATTAATCTAACTGCAAGTTTACAGTAATGTGCTTTATTTCAGAATGAAATATCCTTTGTATGGATAGCCTAACAACAATACTTAAAGCTGCTAAAGAAGTGAAGGGAAACATTGAAACCAATCTTCCAAAATTCATCTGAGGAAATAGTTGAATGTGCTACCAGGGGAGCATTCTTTAAAATAACCTAGTGTAAACTTTATGGAATACTGTTACCAGACCACAAACTGAATTGCTAGCAACTGTCTTAATGACAGTGGGCAATGTCACATTATTCAAAATAAACTTTTCCAGGTGTTACTCATTTTGTTCCTTATAACAAGTTTCATGAAGTGCTCTCACTCCATTGACATTCTTGGTATCCTTTATTTATTCAGAGCCACCAGTAACATTAGTTTGGTTTAATTTATAAAAAACATTGGCCAAAGAGATGGTTTAGTATGTGTGTATTTGTCTGTAATATAGCATTTAAATATATTTTTCTTGATTAAATCTGAGGAAAGCGGTAGTGTTTCCTCTTCAGTTTTGCACTTTGTTATATTTTGTTTCAGTATGATAAACTTATTTCTACTTGAAGCTTGCATATTTTTGTTGTATTGTAGTATAATCGAGCAATCAGCTTTCGGTATGATTAAACTGATTTTTAAAATTAGTTACGTTTGAATTAGTACTGTTTGAAATATTTATACAGTGTTGTTGCCCCAGTATGATTTGAGGTGAATATTTTGAGCTAATTTATACGTGTTGTCCAGATTTTTAGAGAATTGCACACAGTAGTGAATATAAGAAACTTGGGCCCTATGCAAGAAGTATTTCTGTATGTGGTCATCTGCCTTTTGTTTGTTTCATTCCTCCAAGTGTCATGATTACTTTGGGATTTGGGATGAAACTGGGAAGTCACAGCACCACATGGATCTTCCATTTCCGATTTAATAGTTTGCAGCCTTAACATGTTAGTTGAAACAAAACTGTGGCTGCAAGTTTGAAACTGACATTTCACAGGGGTCATGGAGGAACTGTGTGTGCCTCTTCTTCCATTCAGGTTAATAAAGCTGAACAAGTGAAGTGACAATAAAAACATGGGAAATTGTCTTTTTTTCTTTACTGCAAAGTCTGAGGGAGAAAATAGTGTAGAACATGGAAAAAGTGCTTAATATGCATTGTATGAGGGTGAGTCAAAAAGTTTTGCTTCCTTTATAATAAAAACCTTATGAATGAACATATAACAGCAGAAGTTGCTACAGATCAAAACCTGAACTGTCCTCTACTCAAAACTACCATACAACATGTGTACACATTTGTGCCATTGTTTAACCCAGGCATCAAAACCATTTTTGATAAATTCAGGGTTTTGCTTTGCGACCCATGATTTTAAAGTTGTTTTAATGTCATTCATGTCATTGAATATGAAACCACATAGGTGTCTTTCAGAGGTCCAAACAGGTAAAAGTCAGAAGGGGCCAAATCATAAACATTCTTCAAGCGATCATAGATTTCCTTAGGTACACAACTTTCTTTTGCCAGAAATTCAATGATGACTCTTTCTTTCAGCTTCAGATTCATGGTTCTCATCAATCTATACCAGTAGCGTAAGGTTACCTCTATCATATCATGCAGATAGTTCAGTAGCTGTGAAAGAAATAAAAGAGTGATGGAGGCATTACTTTTTGACCCACCTATAGTTTAGCCAATTCAAATGAATACATTCATATATATATATGCGTGTAAGAGAAATGCCACAATGTTACATCCAAAGGCTCTGGGCATATTTTGGAAATGATGAAATAGGATATTGACAATGCTGTTTAATACCAATTTTTTTCTTAATAGGAAAAATAATCAGTCAAAATCAAGAAATTATCTGTGTGAGACCAGATAATGAACTTTAACTTCTGCTTAGACATTCTCAAAGAGTTATTTGACAATGCTAGTTATATGCCTTATCAACATATGTATATTCATCACTTCTATTAAAATGTGTGTAGGCATACAGTTTACTTGGAGAACATTCTATATCAAGTGCACACTATCACTTTGTTGCATGTTGCATTTGAAGATTTTTATTTTCAAATAAATTTACCTTGGGAGTGGAGAGAGAACTCACAGTAGATCTCTTGCCTTGCACAGAAAAAGAAATAAAATATTTCACCCTTTCCCTTCTAAATAACTTCACTGTTGCTTCACTGCATCCTCAAATAGTCTATGCTCACAAATGGTTATCTTTTTGTGAAGAGTGATTTAAACCATTCTTTCCAGTGTCTACAACTGGAGTATCACTATGCACAGTTTTCTTAATCCTTGATCTGGATATTTTCTCTACACAACTGTAGTTCCTTTTGTGTGAAGAAAGTACAACAGTCTGCATAATAAACTGTTGAGTTTGTTCATTCAGTGAATCCTTCCATTACTGAATCATTAAGAATAACAATGCACAGTTCCACTAATGTCTGTCTAAAAGTCTGAACAGTTATTTCTACTCCAGTAAGCTGTACCACTTCCCTCTTGTGGGGTTGAATACAAACTCTGGCTATTGCTCTCTGTGCTTAGAGGTCTCTGTCCTCATTTAACCTTGGACAAATATTTCCCATAACCTATCTTGGAATGCAATGTTGACTCTCAAAAATGGATAACACAGAAACTGAACTTTCTGAAGCTGGACTCAATCCAATCCCTACTTACCCTAGAGAGCAGTGTAGATCCAGAATTAGAAATTAGGTAGAGCGGCTGTTTCTAGTGTTTTAGTCTTGTCATCATGTACCTGATTTGTGGGAAATCTGTATCTGGGAAAAAATTAACTCATCCTTCACTCCCCCACTTCTTTTTAAAAAGCTTTTCTGATGTCTAATCTCAGCTGTGCTGGCATAGCTGTCTGAGATAAGCAGGCAGAAGTAGGTTATGTGAGCACAGGGCATTTCAGCTCAGCCAACACAAGAGATTTCAACCTGTTCCTAGTCTTGTAAGTGTTAGTACAGGCAGTCCCCAAGTTACGAACAAAATAAGTTCTGTAGACTTGTTCATAAATTGAATTTGTAAGTCAGAACAGGTACATTTTAACACATTTTCCTACTGGAAAGGATTAACACATGTGTGGTGTTTGTTTTGCTGTCTGTGCCTCTGTTCAGATTTCACCTCACTTTCTGTCCCTGTAATAATTGGATTTTGAAAAACATGGCTTGTTACGAAAACAAGGATTGATGAGAAAGCTTCAGTGGAGACACCTTTCCTCCCATGATAACTCTTTCAGGAGTGAATTTCCCTTCCTAGGGGTAGATTTCTCTTACTTCATGCTGTCTAGCCCCTGTTCGTAACTATAAGTTGTTTGTAAGTCGGATGTTTGTAATTTGGGGACTGCCCATACTGTGTTTGGTTGGCATGCTTAGGATGCAATCTAAACATGTAGATAAAATTCTATTCAAAATGATACAATTCCAAGTAAACCATCCACATGATCCTGAGTACTTCCTCTCATGCACAACTGCAGCATCCAATCCCATTGAGAAAGAATGCATATATAGTTGCTTTCAGTGAGGCATCCTTTCTGGAAGTGGGAGTATCTTATGCATAAAATGCCCTATACATTTAGCATAATTGCATGCTTGGATTTGCCTTGTGTTTTAAATGTGGATTCCATTCAATCAAAGGAGAAAATCTGGATGGTGTATTACAGAAGTGATTCATCTTACCAAAACCTGAAATCAGTATTATGGCAACTACATCTCCTTTTGCTTCAGGGCCCTAAAACAAGCATTGATCAGAATTGCTTAATTTGTAATAGCTGAACAGGAAACACTTGTAGATGGACTGCTGTGAGTTTTCCGGGTTGTATGGCCATGTTCCAGAAGCATTCTTTCCTGACATTTTACCCACATCTGTGTCAGGCATCCTCAGAGGTTGTGAGGTCTGTTGGAAACTAGACAAGTGAGGTTTATATATCTGTGGAATGTCCAGGGTGGGAGAAAAAACTATTGTCTGCTTGAGGCAATTGTGAATGTTGCAGTTGGCCACCTTGATTTGCATTGAATGGCCTTGCAGCTTGAAAGACTGGCTGATACCTGCCTGGGGAAATCTTTTTGTGATTTTTTTATCAGCTTGTTTTTGGAATCTTTGTAACAGGATTAAAATTGCTCAAATTCTTTATTGCTCATTTGAAGGAATTTACTGACGAGTTATATCTCTAATACCACACTGCACAATCAACTGAACACCAGCCCTTCTACATTTGCTGGGGTTAGGACCGCAAGGCCTTTGTGAAAAATCAAGAAATAAACACAATGTTCTACTTCTCTAGGAATCACTAAATTCTCCAGCACAATTCTGTGATCATCTTCTGTCAAAGGATGATCACAGAAGATGATCACTTCTTCCTAGCCTCTATGATAAATTCTGACAGAGGTTGATCAAAAGGTCATGCTGGAGGACCTAGAGCAGGGGTTGCAAACCTTTTTAACAGCACCAATTCATGGTTCCCCAGGTTGTTGGAGTCAGACTATAGTTTGAAAAAACATGAATGAATTCCTGTGCACACATCTTATTTCTAGTGCAGAAAAATATGAAAGAATATAATATTGAAAATAAAGAATCATTTTAATCAACATAAACTTATCAGTATTTCAATGAGAAGTATGGGCATGCTTTTGGCTGATGAGATATTAAAGTTGATTAGGGTTGTGGTTGTTGTTGTGTGTCTTCAAGCTGTTTTAGACTTAGGGCAACCCAAAGTGTAATTTAGGGCAAGCTCTGGGTAAACGACCTTAGAGGGGGGCATCCATCCCGCAAGCCTTAATTTGGGGATCCCTGACCTAGAGTGATTAAGGCAGAACATATTTAAAAAATCAAATCTGCAAAAGTGAAACCCACAAATATGGAACACTGACTATATACTTCAAGATGTTAGCCAAATACATGTTTCTCAAGTTGTTTTACAATAGAGTATCTTAGAAATCCATGAAATGTACAATAACAGAAAAAGCAAAAAGCAATCACATACCAAAGAACCAAAAAAAATTGCAAGATTAACAGAAGCCTTGGCTTGCCACCTTTCTGTAGACATCTTTAGGAAATTCCCTGAGAAACCCGTATTACAGCAGAGAAAGACATCAATGAAGGTAAGAGTTCCTCCATTCTTTGCCAGAAAAAAAATCTTTGTTCTTTATTCACACATTTCTAAAATGTTGTACAAGTACTTCTGGTGGACATCAACATCCAAAATATATTAATTTGTTGGCTTTAATCCCCGACTGCACAAGTCTCCAGCCCTCAATGAGTAGTTAGTCTAGATAGAGTCAGGGATTCCTTTCCCAAATTCCTTTTGCATGCCTTATCTCAAGAAGGGGGGCTTAGAAGGGGGGGTTGTTTTGCTCATCCTGCATGCCACTATCTCCTCCCCTTTTGAATACTTAGCAATGTGATCTCTTTGGGGAAAATGTAACTTCCTCTTTAAAAGTATTTTTATTTCCCTGGTGAGGCCATGTGGTCATTTCTCCATTTTGGGCCTCACACTTCTTCCTTTGTTCTGCTAGAGTAAGGAGGCATCTTGCCATTGTTCAGGCAAGATGTAGTAGATATAGCTATTCTGTTATTTTTCCTTTTTTCAGTCCTTAGAAGATACCTCAGAGAAGCTAGTTAGCTTCAAGAACCTTTCCTATCAATAATGGATTTCTTTTGTCATTAATAAACATATTATTTTTGACCCTATGAAGTTGTGGATCTGCAGTCCTGTTCCATCCTATTGAATGGAAACCAATCTTTGCTCTTCACACGTACGTTTCTGTTGGTTACGAACTGTGCTTTTGGGACTCTGAAATATATATATATATATATATATATATATATATATATATATATATATATTGTGGAAACACCCCCAAGTGAGGGTTATTTTTTGAGCTTAACAGCTCCTGATTCCCAACAAAATTTGATGCTTTTTTCATGTCAGGAGTGACATGATAACTGCAAGTAGCTTCTGGAATGAAATAATTGGCCATCTGCAAGGTCGTTGCCCAGGGGATGCGTGGATGTTTTGATGTTTTACCATCCTTGTGGGCAGCTTCTCTCATGTCCCCACATGAGGAGCTGGAG